AAAGTTGTCCCGCGCTAAACAGATTTTGCTATGTTATACGTTTGTAAGACGGAGACAACACATGCGGGTGTGGCGTCCTCTTAATATTTGTATACACGTCTCTATTTATTTAAAAATCGACAAAAATATATTTATTATAATATTATATTATGAAAAGGTATTATTTTTGAGAAGTCCGTAATTTAATTTAATAATACCCATTGTATAGGATAAGAAATTTACATAACGTTCAAAGTCGTGCATTAAAACCCTACAATAAACTTCAACCTTGGTATCAGTATTAAGAATAATCTGTTTAAAAGCATACTACACCCTTAAGACAGGTAGAAGATGGCATTGGTAGGGTTTCAGTTCTAGGCTCTTATTTAAAAAAGGACAAATGAACTGTAAGAAAGTTACAGTCCTTTCTTGGATKAGCCCTCGGAGAATATACGGCAGTCGGCAATACTACTTCAATAACTTACTGTCAATTCAATGGTCACATTTTACTGGAGCATCGATGATAGAGTCGTGTTAGACATAAATGGCTTTAAACAGTCTAAATATTTGTTAAACTTCTTAAATTCTTAGCACAAACTCCAAAAAGATTTGTTTAATATATTTTTTTTWAATTATAACAACATTCGCAAAGTAAGTATAAATTAGGTTTGGTCAATCTAAATTTCATTATTTTTTACGAACAGTTAGTACTTATTGGCTATTTGGGTAGATATTACAGAATGCTAAATAAAATTGGATCTCATTATGAACGGCAAGAATCGAACTGGGTGGCTGAAGGAGGTTTTGGAAATGAAACTGTAGTTGACCGGGTTCCAGCAGATATGATGCATATGATCGATCCTTCTTGGTAAAAACATTAAAATATTATAATAATGAATAATTCAAATTTTTTATTTTTTATTTTGTACCCATGTTCCCAAGGTATCAATTTCCTCCAATGGAATCAATGTGGTACAAATGGTTAGGTGTTACTATTTTCTTCTTGGGTATTTTATCAGTCGTGGGGAATGGAATGGTGATATATATATTTACCTGTACAAAAAATCTTAGAACGCCTTCCAACTTACTGATAGTTAACTTGGCGTTTTCCGATTTCTGTTTGATGTTTACCATGTGTCCGGCAATGGTTTGGAATTGTTTTTATGAGACGTGGATATTTGGTAGGTACTATAAAAATTTGAAACCTACCTTATGTCATATTTTCAACTGATTACGGAAATTATGTTTAAGGGCCTTTTGCATGTGAGTTGTATGGTATGTTTGGATCACTTTTTGGAGTCACATCCATATGGACAATGGTTTTTATAGCTTTAGATCGTTATAACGTAATAGTAAAGGTAAAAAAAAATAAAAAAAATAAAAAATTTCATTATATAAATCATTTATTTATTGAATTCTCAAAGGATAAAATACAATTTGTATGTTAAAGGGGTTATCTGCAAAACCTATGACAACCAAGTTAGCTTTATTGCAAATATTTTGCATATATTTGCATGGACTTTTCTGGACTTTAACCCCTTTTTTTGGATGGAGCCGGTAAAAAAAAAAAATGGAAAAAATATATTAAAGCATAATTTAATTTTATGTCTTTTAGATATGTGCCAGAAGCAAATATGACAGCATGTGGTACTGATTATTTAACCCTGACATGGCATAGTCGTAGTTATGTTTTAGTATATGCAATGTTCGCATATTATTTACCATTGTTGGTCATCATCTACGCATATTACTTCATTGTGAAGGTAAGTTTTAAAAAACTGTAAAGAAAAAATACATAGTTAAAAATAATTTTTAAAATAGGCAGTAGCATCACAYGAGAAATCTATGAGAGAACAAGCCAAAAAAATGAATGTATCTTCTCTGAGGTCTGGAGATCAAAGCAATACTAGTGCAGAATTTAAACTGGCTAAAGTGGCTTTAATGACAATTTCCTTATGGTTCATGGCTTGGACACCATACATGGTTATCAATTTTTCTGGAATATTTCAATTAATTACGATTGATCCATTATTTACAATCTGGGGATCAGTTTTTGCTAAAGCAAATGCTGTATACAATCCAATAGTATATGCGATTAGGTGGGTATTAAATAAACTACAATTGTATCTACAAATACTGTTTATTATTGTTTTTTTATAGTCATCCGAAATATAGATTGGCATTAAATAAGAAGTTCCCATGTCTGGTGTGTGGAAAATTAGAAGATGACAGAAGCGATTCAAAATCAGTTGCTTCTGCTCAAACAACTATATCTGAAGATAAAGTCTAAGAATCAAAGTAACTTAATGTCATGGAATATGTTTAATCAAACCATCAAAGTTGTTTATATTGTTTATAACAGTTATACCTTTATTTCAATTTTCTACGTATTTTCCTTATCCATTGAGATTGGTTCTGTTTCAAAGCAGCCTCTAATGTATCCTTGATATGAACCAAGTTTAACGGATTTGTTTGTAGGAATAATGATTCAGAAATATCATTTTTTTCTAAATCTAACTTCAATGTAACAACTGGTACGGTTTGATGTAATAAAGATCTGGATCCCATCTGTATACATAATATATTATGATTAGTTGCATCTATATATTTATTAATTCCTATATTATTATGCTTTAACAATATATATTATATATATACATATACATAATAATTTATATTTATGTATAAATATACTTCCTAAAGGTTATTAAATGTAGTTCTATTTAAATACCAAATAATATTTTAATTTTTGAATGTAAACAGATTTATTTAATTTATTTAGTATTCATGAAATTTACTCTATATAGAATTAATCTATACATAAAGGATAAAGGATATTATTTAAAGTAAGTATTTTAATCTACATACTACTTCAGTATAATATTTTATAAAATATGTTTCTATACAACATTATTAGTGGTAGAATAGTTATATTTGTTTAGTATGTGACCTACCAAGACGAATAAGACAATTATCTATGTTATGAATGGAAAATGTATTGATCTATTAAAAGACAAGATATATTTTTTTTTTTTTAATTTAAGGAATTTACAAAAAGTGTAGTGAATTTTTTTTTTAAATAAAATTAAGTTTTTTTTTATATTAAAATAATTTTATGACAGTTTTTGAATATTTTTTACATATTGCTGTACTTACCTAGGTATTCAATATTGTATAACTGAATTATTTTATATTTGTTTTACTATTAATAA